TTATTCACTTCACACACGATCACTCTCCGATGGCACCGTCGCTGCCCGCCATCTTGTTTCTATTCAGTCCCTCGAAGGGGACATAGCCACCGATACAGAGTCAACTATCCCATTGTCGGACGTGATGAAGGATTCAATTTAGCCACCAATGCGACGCCAACATCTCAGCCTCGAGTGTTAACTCAGCCTCGAGAACTATCTCGACCTCAAGCATTATCTCGACCTTGAGTGTTACCTCAGCCTTGAGTATTAACTCGGCCTCGAGCATTATCTCTGACTCGAGAACTATCTCGGCCTCAGGTGTTACCTAGACCTTAAGAACTATCTTGGCCTCAAGCATCATCTCGACCTCGAGAATAATCTTGGTCTCAAGCATTATCTCGRCCGTGAGTGTTACCTTAGCCTTGAGTATTAACTTGTCCTTGAGTATTATCTTAGCCTCGAGAACCATCTTGGCCTCGAGTGTTAATTCGGCCTCGAAAACTATCTCGACCTCAAGTGTTATCTCAGCCTCGGGCATTATCTTGACCTTGAGAGCTGTCTCAGCCTCGAGACCTATCTTAACCTTGAAAACTATCTTGGCTTCGAGCACTACCTCAACCTCACCTTGATTTAATAAGCATAAAGCAACGACTGTAAGCTCAATGCTCAAAGGTGAAGCGTAACAATAGTTAGGTATCGATCGATATAACCAGAAATGCTACTTTCGAAGATTGAGCTACTCTTCACCTTTATGTAAACGACGATTTGATTCACCTAACTCAAAAGTGGGGACCATTGTTAGGGGTCAAAATTGAGCAGACTAAAGCCCATAAAATTAAAGAAAGTTGGGGCCAAAATGGAGCAACTAATTACCCAAAGTCAGTGCACACAACTTGTGTGCCGTCCTGGCCGCGCATTGTGCAGGAATAACCACGGCTATGGGGGTCTTGATTTTAGTGTGGCCTGTTGGGCCGCCAATGCATCTCGGGGCCCTTTTTTGAGCCACAACCTATGTGTTGCTGCTCTAGCTTTGCCATGATGCAAATTTTAAGCACATTGGACCCACTTGTCTTTTTTTCGCATCCAATTGTTCCATTATATGGTGGGATATAGCGCGAAGTTTTGACTTTGACTGTCGCTCTTGACTTTCCAAGAACCGTATGTATATATATATATATAATTTTACAAATACAAAAAGTGAAAAAGGGTTAGAATGAAAGGGGTCACACATGAAGTTTTCTCAAAAGTGGGTCATAAATCCAAAATAATTTATGGGAGGGTCATATATTCCAATTTCCCAAAACCTTATACATATATATATAAACACTAACCCTAACGACCCTAATCCTTCCTAATTTATGGGAGGGTCATATATCCCAATTTCCCAAAACCTTATACATATATATAAACACTAACCCTAACAACCCTAATCCTTCCTTGGTTTCTCCCCTCCCTCCACTTCACACAATCACTTTTTTTTTTAATATCAGTGCATTTATGTGGAGAAGATTTGCTTGAATTCTCAAGCAATATATGAGATAATTGTTTACTTATGGGAAGATTTGTGGTGATGATTTTTGTAGATTTGTTGAATTAGTAATTGATCCTCAAATTAAAATGTTGATGTTTTTTTCCATATTAGATTCAAATTAAAAGAATTTATGAGGTTTAAGGTGAGAGATCGGTGGAAGGAATCATCTTGATAGAATTTTACTTAAAAAAATTATGGATATTTTGTAATTTTACAAAGACAAAAAGTGAAAAAGTGTCACAAATTAAAATGGAGGAGTCTCAAATTAGGTTCTTTCAGAAAGAGGTCAAAAATCCAAATGGATTATATAATGAAGTTAAAAATCCTAATTTCCCCAAACCCTTATACACATATATATAAACACGGAGCCTCAAAACTCTAATTCTTTCCCCTCGTTTCTCCCTTCTCTTCTTCACTTCACACACAATCACTCTCCCAATGGCCGCTGCTACTCGCCCTCTTAATTCTTTTCAATCCCTCGAAGGGGACATGGCCACCGACGCCACATCTTCTATAAATAGAAAGAACCCTTGGTCTTTCAAGGTAAGCCATTTCCTCTCAAGCCACACTTTACTTCTCTCTCCTTAAAGCTTATATACTGACTTAAGCATCAGAGTAGACCGACATCACGCCGACATTCACCCACCTTCTCTCTATGCAGGTTTCTTATCCTCAACTTCCAAAGTCAAGATCTCGTGAAGACTATCAACTCTTTCATTCTTCCAAACAACAAAATTTCATCCTCCCCTTGTTCACAACCTATCGGGTCTCGACTTCTTCTAGTCACACCCAACCTCTCCTTAATCACTTTGGTGATCGATCCAGTTCACCAACTCTCGATATGAGCAACTTACCAAAAATTGCATCAACATTTTTAAAAGTTAAAAAATAAAAATTCCAAAAGAAGATTAGAGATTTAAATTTTCAAACATACATTGAGAAAATTGAAATTAATTTTACTTTAGAGAGACTAAAATAATAATTTAGCTAATTCATTTGATATGAATATCAACTTGTAACTTTTTTTAAGATAAGTG